GTAGAAATAAATCAATTGACCTTCAAGTTAAGAGATTTTTAATAAAAGCGTTTTTATGTGTTTTAGCATTTTAGGCTGACATGTGAAGTAATGCAAATTATTTAACAAATATATTTAAATAAATATTAAGTAGGAACGTGCCGTCATATTCTGTGTAATCGGTCTTGAGAAAGACAGGTTCACATTTGCTACTCTGTTTTAGTCAAGAAAATATTTTTTTGGCTGTAGGTTATGGCTGAATAACAGGCTCAGTTAAGAAAGAAAATTATTTTGCACTCACCCTTTTTATTGTTCTGTAAGCACTTGTTTATTTCTTTAATATCATTTACCCTGATGTTATGATTTTTTAGAAAACCAAAATTTGAAAAATCATTTTAAATGCTATAAAACATATCAAAATATTGATTAAAAATCTGATTTTTGAAAAATAAAAATAAATTTCCAAGGATTAAATTTTGAACCGCATGAGAGATCACAAATGCCAGATTGGAAAGGGGTTTTTAAGTGCTTTGGCACAAATTTCGACAAACGTGTTCACATATTCGATTGTCTGGATATGAAAGTTCGGTACTACCTTGATACATATTACTTTCTAGGTATTGTCCATATTACCAGTTTTACTATAATGTTATTGTATTTTTTACACACCTGGACAATGAGCTTCTGCAATAATAAAACCTGTTGAAAGAGGTGGAATGGAAATGAATGATGTCGGAAAAGTTTGTAAACTTCGTATGTTGTCACTTGGTACTATATCCTTATTTCCATAATCTATGAAATACACCTCAACGAAGAATGGATGTAGAATGTTCAATATCCTCGACCTTAAATATAACAAAAAAACAGTTACTAACAATACCACAAACATTTGCGTAAATGCATCATGTTCAGACAAGATAATAAAAATCCTGCTGTTGTTTATACGTCTAATATCGTCCTCTTCAGATTTGGATAAGTGCACATTTTTTTCAAAGTGTATAGAGATCAATTACTCTCGTGTTCAAAAAGTAATATTCAATACGTATATTCCGCATGATCTAAACCAGGCTAAATATAATGAAAGTTGGTCAATCATGCTTTGGAATAGCTGCAAACAGAAACGTTGGCAATCAGTGAATCACAACTTAAAACGATATTTATGAAAAACTTTCGTATCTGATGTGACTTTCAATCAGCCTGTATAGCAAGCAAGAATATCTGGAAAATAAAATAGTGCCGACATTCAAAAGCAGATAAATCAACTACTTATAACTACCTACATCAACTTTCACGGTGAACCCGAAGGGCCACCAGTGATTTTATTTCAGCTGTGATTTTTCATCGAAAAATATATCAATTTGTCGCGATCTGTGAAGCGGAATAAACGTTTAGATTTTGAAAGTATCGTGACTGAACGTGACCTAGAAGATAGAAAATGCTTGGGTGATTTTT